ATTTATTTATTTATTTATTTATTTATTTATTTTTAAATTCTGAGGCAAGTTTTGCTAAGTTGCTAGTTTCCCAGGGTGTGCTCAAACTTGCAATCCTCCTGCTTCAGCTTCTCAGAGTCCTGGGATCACAGCTGTGCACCACCACACCCAGAAATGAATTTTCTTAAAACTATTCTAAAATTGAAACTTATTTTTAAAAAAATATATATTCTTTTGGTTCAGGAATTGAACCAGAACTACAGTTTAGTGGAATTTTCTCAGTGGGAGAACAATATTGTTTACTACCATTCATTTTAATTACTGTGTTTCCCTGATTACTCACAAATTAAATTGATGTAATAAAGTATAATATAAATTACCATAGCAATGTTGTTTCCTTTGCTACATAAGTATAGACTATACCTATAGAGGTGGTGGCAGGGGTTGGGGGGCGGGAATGGTGGTCCAAGGTCAAAACACAACTTCTTGCAATCACTTAGGAAAGTTCTTTCTTGTACCTAAGCACATTGAGTAGTCCCCACAAGCAAGATTTATGGATGTTAAGGGAAAGCACATAAATAAGGTAATACTACTGCGTTTAATACTGAGTCTGTACCTTGATACTTTGGCTAATAGTAATACAGTATATAAACATTCTCCAGACTGCCTACTTGGAATTTCCCAAAAGTGCCATTTTCCCCATGATCTGTATGTAGTCTTGTGCTGTACTCTTGGTAAATTCTCCACCCACCTGCTAAATAAATAATGCTACATCATCTTCAAAAGTAGTTCACCTCTTACCTCTTCTGGGAATAGCTTCCTGATCCCCAATGTGAACTTTGTGTTTGTGCTCTCATTGTACCTGCAGTATTTCTCAATTATCCTTATATACTGTACAGTGTGACGAATATCCTTATACACTGTATAATAACAGTAAGGCCTCTTACTTGTTTCCTATTTGAATAAACTCCTTGGAGGCAGACAGGTTCCTCGTGCCTCATGTAGTGCCTGGTACACAGTAAGACCCCAGGAAATCAATGATTAATTGAATAAACACATTTATGTGGAAAGTAAAAATATGATTTTTTTTTTTATCTTTTATTTACTTTTTTGAGACAGGGTCTTGCTGTGCAGTTCAGGCTGGATTTGAACTCACCATGTAGCCCAGGCTAGCCTCGGACTCCCAGTGATCCTCTGGCCTCAGCCTCCCAAGTGCTGGGATTACAAGCGTGTGCCACCACACCTGGCATGATTGAGTTTTTACAGGATTAAATCAAACAGTGAATACTTTCATAAAAAATGACTAAGGAGATTAAGGAGTGTTTCATATTTTGAAATGTCTGCATGGTAAACATGTTCTCCAAAAAATATTCTGGACTAGACCACTGATCTGATTCAGTATAATATCACTAATACTCCTTTATAGACTGAAACACAAGTGTCTATCTGTAAATTATTTCTTCAACTAAGCACAGGATTTAGAAAGTCAGGGTCTTAACACAACAATGTGGGGTACAAGCAGGCTTGATCTGGCCATGACCTGGTTAATGAATATGTTATTTAATTCCCCAGCTGCTCTGAAGCCTCCATCACTTCCCTTGTAGTCACAGACCTGTTTACTCCTCTATATTTAGTGAAGATTTCATTTATTTACAGACCTGTTTACTTCCCTTTTAGTGAAGATTCTATTTATGTATTTATTTGAGATGATCTCACTTGCTTCTGTTTCTCTCCCTCTTCTGTGTGTGTGTGTGTGTGTGTGTGTGTGTGTATGTGTGTGTGTGTGTGTTCTGAAAACAGAAGCAGTAAGAAATGCTTCAGAGTCCTTGGGAAAGATGAAAGTACTGGGTATGGGAGAAGGGGAAAGGTAAGGATGTTCACAAACCGGGTACCCAAGGCAGTCAGGAATTTGGAGGGGTGAGCAAAGGGTTGCTGTAAAATTTGACCCCTTTTCTGTAGACTGTCTTTGGTAAGAACCAGAGAGGAGTTTTAATTAGAGAATGATGGATGTTAGACTTAAGTGGTTTCAATTCCATAATATAAAAATAAACTTTTCAACAAATAGAGCTGCACACTCAGAAAGGATGGCTTTCTCCCCATCATTATGCCTAACTAGCATACCTTGTAAGAAATGTAGTAAATAGTATTTAGGTGCCTCTCTTTCTGTGAATTCTTATTAAAAGCTTACGCTGTGCAAGTTGCAGGCAGAACATGAAAAGGAGCTAAAACCTGGACCTTCTTTATCATGCTTTTCCACACTTTCACGTTATCTTGTTAAAATGCAGATTCTGATTCTGTACAGGAGGGATGGACCCTCCGATTCTGCATTTCTAACAAACCTCCAGGCGATGTGAATGCTGCTGGTCCGTGTATAACCCGTTGAGCGACAACCGTTTCCAAAAGGAAATAAAACGTGCACTTCACAGTAATACAAAGAATTCGTACATATCTTATATGTTCCACTAATTATTATAAAATCTCTGGTTCCTCCAAACCTAGAATTGTCTTTGTCCTTTCTGTGCGTTTTGGTGCTTTTGTTGTTGCCCAGTTTCTTGAATTTTCTTTTGGAGTTTGTGCATAAGCAAATTCTTAAGTCTGGGACGTCGTTCTCCTGGAACTAACGTTTCACTAATTTGTCTGGCAAGGTCTAACTCCAGTTCAGCCCGCCTGGAATTTTCTGCTCCTCCCCACCGCCCAGAGCTTTAGCCTCGGCACTGACCTTCTTCCCTTCACCTGTAGTTGCAAGCCCGTTTTCCCGTTTCCGGGAGGAAGCACCCCAGGGGCCGCCGCGGGCAAAGGTGCGGTTCACGTAGCGGGGCGGCACGACCGAGGGCGCGAGAGGCCCGGGAGCCCCGCGCAGCGCAGCGTCCGGGCCGTGCGGAGCCCACGCGCCCTACCCGCGGGGCGGAGCCTGCGCACGCCTGCCCGGCGTCGGAGGCTACGCGCGCCCACCACCGAGGCGGCGGCGGCGGCTAGAGAGGCGGGTTTCGCGCCGCGGGCCTTGTATCCATTTTAGGAGGAAACCCGGATCGCCGGCTGCAGGCGCGGCTTCAATCGAGACAACTTTATTGGTGGCCTTGTCTGCAGACCATCCGTGCCCGCGGCCCGGGAGGAGGGAGCGCGTCGTCTGAGGTGAGCAGGGTGCGGGCAGCGGCGCGGGGCTTCCGGAGCGCGGGAGGCCAGGTGGAGGGGACCCAGGGCGGCTTCCTGGGCGAGGATTCCCGCGTCCCCGGGCGCAGGGGCGGGGCCGGGGCGGCCCTGACGCGGCCGCTGATCTTCCCCGCGCGCAGCCGTCCCTGGCAGGTGGCCCCGACTCTAGCTGCAGCCATGGGAAACACCGCCAGCGACCGCGTGTCCGGGGAGCGCCACGGCGCCAAGGCTGCGCGCGGCGAGGGTGCGGGCTGCCACGGCCCGGGCAAGGAGCACAAGATCATGGTGGGCAGCACCGACGACCCCAGCGTCTTCAGCCTGCCGGACTCCAAGGTAGGCGCCTCCGAGCACCCCGTCGCTGTCGCGGTAGCGGGGCTGGGCGCTGGCGCCTGGCGCCGCCTCCCTTCCGGGATCTTTTTCCCGACTCCGAGTTGGCTTTGTATTTTCCAGGGATGAATGTGTTGGGTGATAAATTATTCATGGGGTGCCGCCTCAAAATACGACCGAGAGGAAGAGTTCTTGTTTTCCTGGCGTTCTGACCAATCTCTGGGCCACATCTTTAGTTGGACAGGGACAGTAAATGCTACTCCCCAGCCGCATCCTTGATTCTGCTGACGCGCACAGGCTCCTGTGCCGGAGGGTGGCAGAAGGTATAGGTTATAACCCGGGGTGGAAAACTTCCCAGGGTGGATTGTCTGAGCAGCTGACCCTAGATCGCGTTCTCACATTTGCCTGGACGAGGTTAAAATTGTCACCGGACAGGGTCCGAGGAGGCTCCCAAAGTGGAGGTGAGGAACCGAAACACATCCTTCCTGTAGGGTCAACTCACTAACTCCCGAGGCAGAAAAATAATTTTCAGGACTCTTGAGAGGCATGAAGGATTTATTAGACTGAATTTTTTTTTTCTTGGTACCGGGGATCGAACTTGGGACCTTGCGCTTGCGAGGCAGGCGCCGGAACCACTGAGCTAAATCCCCAGCTCGTTTAGACTGAATTTTTAAAATACACTCTCAGAGAAATAGAGTGCAGGTCCTCAAGAGAGGGGCTGACCAGTGTGGGGCTGAGTGTATTTATGGGGACTTCGGGGTAGAATCTGAGGAACCTGTGAATGTATGGAAGGAGGCAATGAAAGACAGAGGTCTTTTTCTGTAGAGGAGCTCATGGTCCATTCGCAGGTGACAGCATCTCCAGTAATGGGGAAAAAAATCATTTTGTAAGTAAGAAAAAAATAGCAGAGGTCCATTTGCAAGTAAAAGGGAGTGGCTAAAGCCCATTGCAGGTAAAAGAGAATGGCCCAGGCTTATTGGGTCTTTAAGGATTTAAAAGGCTAAGTGGGTCTTAGGATTTTTTTTTTTTTTTTGGACTGGATTTGTGTTCTGAACCTGCATTTTTAAATCAGAAGTACAATTTTAAAATGCCTTTCCTTGTCTCCTTTTTACCTATCTTTATTTTTTTCTATCCTGCCTCAAAATGAGTTTATTTTTCCTGGAAATTTCTGTGTGTTTATGTCATTTCTGCTCTTCTAGGCTCTCTGCCCTTTTGATCCTTTTCCACTTTGGCATGGCTGTGAGCAGCCACCGCTTATTTGAATATTTTTGTTTGGTCTTGGGGATCAATAAAAGACATCATTTGGTTGACTGCTCAGTTTTTAACCCCATACTTTGTAGTTGTGGTGGCTGAGTCTGTGCTGCTTGCCCACCCAGCTGCTCCTTAATTGGGAGAGCCGATAATTCCAGATTTCTCCACTCCCCATTAGGACTTCAAAATGTTGCTTGGGGCTGAAAAGGACAACACACTTCTGACAACTTTCAGGAAGAGGAAATTTTTGTTCCCTGAATAGAAAATAGGTGGAGCTGACAGCATTGTGATTTCTGTTGCTGCATCTGTAATCGTTTTTTAGAATTGTAACATGAAGTACATTTAATTCCTTCAAGTAATCTCTCTAGAGTGGAGTAGGAAAATGGGATTGAGGAGGTTGGGGATGTTTGAGTTTTCATATTTTATCATTTTCCACTAAACTGGGGCTTCAGAGAATAAATGGAGTTTTATTTACCACACTGGTAGCCCATGAAATTTGGATTCTGTGGTTTATTTTCTTGCATCCTAAGTAAGAGCATCATCACAGAGGGAACAGTGACAGTGACTGAAAGGGCATTTCTGGGGGTTTCCTCTCCTTCTTCAGGACTTTCTCATCCTTTGGGCTGACTACCTAGCCATCTGAATTTACTTCAGGGCTTTCTCAAGCCCTGAAGCCCTTTTTTCTCCTTTTCCTGCATTGATGACTCGGGACTTAGGTACAGTGTATTTATCAAAATGTGACAGCAGTAATTGGTGTCCTGAATAAGAGTGAGGGCACTATGTGGGAATTGTGGTCTACTTTGAATCATCCCTTTCCTCACCTCTATCTTGCCATTAGTAGTAAAATAAGAAAATTGGTTCAGATAATTCCTAAGGTGTCATACAAATCTAAAATTTTATAGTTCTTAGTCTACCTTCTTCCCTCCACGTAAACATCTTCAAACTATAATTTTAATTGTCCTTTTGCCTCTTTCCCTGGTGCTTTTGCTGACTGTTTAACTTGGAGTAAACAATCTTTCTGTTAGTCAGCTGCATTCATTCCCTACTACAGAAATGTCATGTCATATGGAAGGGCTTTGCTCCAAAGCTAGGCATATTAATAGTTGTAGCTTTCAAATTCTAAACTGAAAATCCTGTCGTAAAAGTAATTGATGGACACAGTGGTAGTGGGGCCTACGTTGCTTGGAGTGCCAGCCTTTTTTCAGTACAATAATTCAGTGGTTCTCAACATTCCAATGTTTGTGCATTGGAATTACCCAAGATTTGTTTTAATAGTTTGTGGAAAACTTGAAACATTTACAGAGTTGGGAAAACAATATAGTGAACTCTATATACCTGTCACCCAGTTGAAACAGTAATCAAATTATGAACAAATACATGTCATCTGTTCCCCAGCCCATTGTTCCCCAACCAATTCTTTTGAAGGAAACACTTTCCTTCCATACTAGATACCATAACAGATATTATCTGTAACATTTTAGGATGTAGCTTAAAAGATGAGAGTTTTGTTTGTTTATTTTAACACAATCACAGTATTGTCTGGGAAGATTTTCATTTCCCCAAACCGAATCTGAGTCAAAATATTAGGGTTATTCTTCAGCATATGTTCCTGTAATTCAAGTGCAGCCAGTCAACCAGAGTGCACTGCTTTCAGAATATGGAGACCGAGGTTTTCTCTTCAGCCAATTCCTTGTAAAAGTCCCTTCAATGTTCTTTCTCATTTACTTTTGTGTAGGCTTCTAATTTTTCATCCTGTAGCTTTGAGGAATATTGACAGTATACAAAGTAGACATTTCCATTTTGGAAAAAAGAAATACTGATAAATAAGCTAGACTTTTTTCCTTTCAGTGCACCTTATTTTATTGGGTAACATTTTGACTTAATACTGTACAGTCTTATTTACCTATTTACCAGTCACTTAAGTTACCCAAAGCAGGGGTTAGCAAAGTTTTCTGAAATAGGCCAGATTATACAGATTCTGTTATAACTACTCAGTTCTGCTACTGTAATATAAAAGTAACTGTAGATTATTGGTAAAAAAATGAGCATAGCTATTTTCCAATAAACGAGTAATAGGCAGTAAGGATATTTTTTAAAGAGCCATCCTGAGGCGCTGAGTGATCTATGCAGACTCATGTTAAGCTGTGTTAGCCATTTGACCATTTTTGGTCCTAGATGAGTCTTTTTCTATAGTTTTTTGGGGAGAGGTAAAATATATTTTAATGAAAACATTTTCTCCCCAACTTTAAATAAAAATAATTTGCATTTTAAAATCTGAAGCTCTGTGACATCAGAACGTCATTGTTTCTGGCTCAGTGAACCTTTTTTTTTGCAGACAAGGTCTTGCTATGTAGTTCAGGCTGACCTTGAACTTGAGGCAGTCTCCATCACTAAGCCTTGTTGTCACTGCACTCCTAAGTCCCCAGCGCTCTTCGGGCACGTATGAGATATGTTCTCTTCTGGTGGAAGTCCTTGTGGCAGCTTTAGGGCCTCATTCTTAGCACGTGTTTAACCACTTCAGTTTTTCATTCATAGAAGGGATATTGTAAACTTGAAGAGCATGTGTTTTTTTTAATCCAAGCATCTTTATTGTATGTTTTTCTCAATATGGACATCTTTTTGTACTTTTCATTTGAGTAATAGTATGAAGTTTCTGAGGGTGCTGTGATCCCCACCATATTTTTTATGATTTTCAGGTGACGGCAGAAATATTATCTGGAATTCTTGATTTGGAAATTTGTGATGAATCCAGTCTGTACCAAGGATAAGATGCCACACCTTTTGTCACAGTCTGTAGTCTGCCTGGGAGCCTCTGAGCTTCTGAGCGCAAAATCCCTGGCATAAGTGTAGTAATTATACAGAGACGTTTTTCTGTAGTTTGTTCAAAATTGATTTAATTGCTAATATTAAATCTTAAAAGCTGTAAAAGCCTAGTAGCCCACCTTATCCTAGGGAGAAGAGTAACCTTTTAAGAATTCTTGGGTCACAATTTATTCTAGGGATGACCTACTCCTTCTTACAGCTACCTGGGGACAAAGACTTTGTGTCATGGCAGCAGGATTTGGACGACTCTGTAAAGCCCACACAGCAAGCCCGGCCCACTGTTATCCGCTGGTCTGAAGGAGGCAAGGAGGTCTTCATCTCTGGGTCCTTCAACAATTGGAGCACCAAGATTCCACTGATTAAGAGGTGAAGACATGTGTCGTGGTTGAGTCTACAGGGTCCAGGAGCTAACTTCCTTTCCTAGAATAGAAACCAGGCTGGACTACTTTTCTCCACCTACTAAGAGCTCTCTGAAGAACATGCCCCTTTTGTGACTACTTACTGTGCCTATGGCATTATTTTTTCTCTTCATAATAAGTCAGAGATGTTTTATTACTTAGAATTATTGCCTCAAGGGCTTTGTAACAGCTTCATGGGTACATTCCTTAGAATGTCACACAGATCTTTTCTGTGTTTGCGAGAAGTCTGTAACTGGCTGAGTTCAGTTGCTTTGATTTCTGCATAAAGCAAGATAACATTAAGTTCTGTGTAGCTATGTAGTAATGCTATTTGTTTTTCTGTTTTTGTTGTTGTTGCCACTGTTGTTTTGCAAAGCAGTAATGAACTATTTAACCATTATCAGAATAGTCTTTTGTATGTTAAGTCATTTTCTAGAAAAGTCTCACCAAAGTATGGACAGAATACTTTGAAACACTTCTGTACCTAAATCTACCTGTTACTTTACTTATACTTATGAGTAATCAAAAATATTTGTACTAAGGTGATCCATTTGGGGGAATCAGTGACTTTATTTTTTTCCAGATACTGGTTAAAACAAGTTATTTCCGGGGTAGGGGGGGTGAGTGTTGGCAAGTACATGTCCAAGGTGGTATAGAAAAGAGAATGGGTTTATACATTATTTTTTCCTTGAGGAATTCAGAGGCTTAGGAGTAGGAGAGGTCATTGGTATACTATGATTTTCATGTTCTATTTTCTAAAAAGAACTTGTTTGACCTGTGTTCATTTGTAGCCATAATGACTTTGTTGCCATCCTGGACCTCCCCGAGGGAGAGCACCAATACAAATTCTTTGTGGATGGACAATGGGTTCATGATCCATCAGAGGTAAGGTCTTCATCGGCAAGGACAGACTTTTAGCTATCATTTTAGCTGTCATTGTCATCAGGACTGATGGACAACGGCCCCCAATGTTGGAGGATTTCTCTCTTGATGAAAGATGGGGTGCTGAGTGTGATCATTTTTCATTTTAATTAAAAAGTAAAACCACAATTCTTTTGTAGATAATCAAAACTTTGTAAGTTTTTGGTTTAAAAAAAATTCCTTGGTAGAAGACCTATATAGTACTTTGGTTTCCTATATTTCTTGTATGGCCTTCAGGGATGGATTTGAAAAGGAGATTCAATAATTTTTTTCTGTTCACTGTTTCAGCCCGTGGTTACCAGTCAGCTTGGCACGATTAACAATTTGATCCATGTCAAGAAATCTGATTTTGAAGTATTTGATGCTTTAAAGCTAGATTCTATGGAAAGCTCTGAGACATCATGTCGAGGTAATTTGGTAGTATTTGCCCTCTCTTGCCGTGTCTTTCTTGTGTTACATATTCTTTCACCGTAGTGTTTTTTAAGTTTTGTTCTATGTTTGCATTTCTTCTGAGGAGTCTTCTGAATCCTGTGTATATTTATATATCCTGTAAACATTTCAGTCCCCTTCTTTGCAGCAAGAAATATTTCAGTCTTGTGTATTTTATTTCAAACTTTTAAACTGGGATCCACAGTCAGACATTTGTTTTGCATTGCAGCCTAACACAGACACAACTCTTAACACAGGTTCCTTGATGTAATGTTTGCCTTTATTAGATGTGATGTACTTCCACTGTATTTCCACTGAGCATATTTCTCTGCTATGAGTTCAAGACCTGCTGCTGCTAACTCGTTTTGGCATCAGGGACAAGTCCCTCAATCTTTTGGATTCTCAGTTCCTTGACAGTAAAACCAGGGGCTTGGACTCTGTGATTCTCTGCGTTCACAGTACCTTAAATGGAGCCTATCCGAATCTCGGTACAAGGAGCCTTGTGAAGTTTCTGAAAGAATAATTCAGATATAATAATTACCTGTTTAGGGAAAGTTTGAAAATAATTGTTTTCATTGTATAAGCTCAGTTAAGCTGTACATTCTTCTTAGATAGCAGTGACTCAAAGGGTTTAAAAATAATGAATTATGCAACTTCTTATTTCTATATTTTCACATTATATGATTCTGGCAAAGCAACCAATGAATAATAGACAATCATAATTATATACTGATGAGACTAGTATACTTTTGATATTTCTCTGCTCCCTCTTTCACTTGATTTCCCTCCACTAAGGTAAGGCTTAGCATACACTTTATTAGGAATCTATAGATATTGAGTTTTAATGTGCACTCACATAATATCTAGCTACATATGTGACTTTGGTAAAATCATTTAACCAGTTTGTATTTTTTTATGATAAAAAGGAAAAACTGTTCTATGTACTTTGCAATCCTCTTTTATGGGTTATATAACAAAATAATTGAAAGTGCTTTGAGAAGTTTCAAATTCTATATATTTTAAAGATACTACTTAATATCACTATTATTGCTACTTTTTTCTTTTGCTTATTTATTTTTTGTTTGTTTTTTGTTACTTTGAGTCAGGGTCTTGCTATGTAGTTGAGGCTGTCCTTAAACTCACTATGTAACCTAGGGTGGCCCCTGACTCAGCCTCCTGAGTGCTGGGATTATAGCCTTGCATCACCATGTCTGTGCTACATTATTAAATTTTTTAAAACAAAAATTACATTTTTGTATATTTCCATTTAGTCTGTATACTTTTTTATAGTTTTGAAATCTAATTCACATAACATAACATCCACCGTTTTAAGTTGTACAGTTCAGCAATTTTTAGTATAGAGTTCTGTTACTACAGAAACTGTTACTATTAAGAATTTCAGAGTATTTGTAAGGGAAACTTTGTACTTGTTAGCAGTCACTTCCCATTTCTTTCTCTCTTGTCTCTATCATGTACAAATCTACTTTCTGTCTTTATGGTTTTGCCTATTGACATTTCATACAAATAGGGTCATGTAATTTATGGTCTTCTGTTTGTGGCTTCTTTCACCAGTATAATGTTTTTAGGATTCATCCATGTTGTAATATGTATTGATACTTTTATTTATAACTGAATAAAATTCCATGGTATAGACATACTATTTTGTTTAGCCATTCATTGTTAGTAGACATTTGGATTGTTTCCACTTTTTGGCTATTATAAATAATGCTGTTATGAACATCCAGATACAAGTGTTTGTGTGGATATATGTTTTATCTTGGGTATGTACCCAGGAATGTAATTTCTGGGTCATAAGAAAACTATATTTAACTCTTTGGGGAACTGTCAAACTTTTCCATATTTTCTTATTGTTTTACATTCCCAGTAGCAATTAGAATACTGTAGAATGAAGGTTTCAATTTCCCCAGTACTTGTTAGTCTGTCATTTCAATTACAGCCATTCTAGTGAGTGAAAAGTAGTATCTTATTGTGGTTTTAGTTTACATTTTCCTGATGACTGCCATTACATTTTCTCCTTACTGCTCCAGTTATTATAGTATCAGTAGTCTTAGAGCTTATAACCATATTTGCTGCTTAGGTAGAAAAAAGAGGAGATTTAACCTTTTCACATTGTTTAAAAGTTTATAAGGCATCTTAATATCCATTATCCCTTCTGTTTCCTCAAAGACATTGTAAAAGAGACCAAAGATGATTATTTCTATTTTACAGATGAGTAAATTGATCATAGTAAAGGGATCTGTGCAGTCATGCAGCTGATAAGTGGAGTAGCTCATCCCTGAATCTAGATCTTCGACCTCTCATCTCTGAATGGCATGTTGCCATGTTAGGGAACTTTGTGCTTCATGTCCAGGATGACCCGGACTTTAACTTCTGCTACCTTAATCGTTGTAGATCCAGTAGGCCACTGTAGATCCATGGCTGCTTCTGTATTTAATATTAGTGGGCATGTATTGATAGCTTTTTCCATATATCATTACGAATTTTTCCAGTTTTCCCTCATATTTGCATAAATATCTTTCAGACCTTTCCAGCTCACCTCCAGGGCCATATGGTCAAGAAATGTATGTGTTTCGATCTGAGGAGAGATTCAAATCCCCACCCATCCTTCCTCCTCACCTACTTCAAGTTATTCTTAACAAGGACACTAATATTTCTGTGAGTATCCTGAGCATGTGGGGTTCTCTGGGACCATCTGGGCCAAAATTCAATAATCATAGAGAGTGAGATTATTACAAAGGTATGTTGAGATTATAAATCATTACATAACCAGCAGCATTCTACTTAGAGATTCCTTTTTCCAAGGCTGAGTTTTGACTGAAGAAGCTGACATCACAGTTTATAGTTGCCTCTGTTCCTAGTGCAATCAAGTCCAAACTATGCTATAACAAGTATCTGCTACTTCTGTTCCAACTCAAGATGCTTGGTGGATTTACAAAAGGATTACAGATTTTTTTTTTTTGCTTACGATTTACATCTCTAGTCATTATAATTGATTCCCAGTAAGATTATTTTTGCCACTTAACGCAAATCTTCCATTATTTGTTGTAGGTAAGATTTTGTTTTAGCTCAATTAAGGAACATTAGTAGATACTGAGGTTTAGTGTTTCTGCTCTGGACTGAAAATTGTCCAAACTTTCTGTAATGGAAATGTATTAATTTTTTTTTTTTTTTGGTACCGGGGATCGAACTCGGGTCTTTGCACTTGCCTAGCAGGCAGCGAAACCACTGAGCTAAATCCCCGGCCTGTGGAAATGTATTATTGTATATATTGGAGTGGTTACATTATTTAAAGGAGATAAAGTGTTCTAGTTTAGAGTTCTTAGCAGTCCCAGAGTGTTCTGAGAAAGTATTGGCTATTTGGCTTTGCTGTGCATTTAATCTCACTAACTGTTTTCTCTCTCTCAGTGTGACCCAGCCTTACTCCCTGAGCCCAACCACGTTATGTTAAACCACCTCTATGCATTGTCCATTAAGGTAAGTGGTAGTCCTGGTTCTTTGCGGCACCCTGCAAGGAGAGAGTAAGATCCATTATCTCTTCGATTTCCTCAAAAACACTGTAAAAGAGGGCAAAGATGATTACTTTTATTTTACAGATGAGGAAATTGATCATAGTAAAGGGATCTGCATATTCTACAGTTGTTACTTACTCTTAATACTTATCAAAGCTGAAGCTGATAGTAATGGTCTAAGTATAGAAAAACTTTTTATACTAGAGAGTTGTTTTTAAATCTCAGACTCTGTCTCTGTGTTCTGACTAGCTGAACTGTCCCATAATGTAATAGACTTTTTAGCTTCCCAGTTTCTTATCTAGTGGCTAGAACCTTTATACCACCTATTTAAGTCTGAATTCATAGCAGTTAGAGTTCATTTGCAAAAAACTCAGTTTAGCTTCCAGTGCAAAAAATGCTTGAATGTGGTAGTAAGATTTTCACTTTTAAAATGTGGAACTACTTTCATGTGCCTCCATCATAGATACCCAAGTGCTTGCATCTCTCCTATACAGTAGGTAAAGGAGACTGTGACCAGATTTTCCCTGTCTCCTACATGTCTGGAGGCCATTGTTTTCCTGTTGCTTTAGACTTTGGGTTGAAAATATCTGTTCTGTTCTGTCTTGCCATGCACTTGTGGTTTGGCTATTAGAATACAGTTGTATAGCTCTGTGGCTGTCAGACCGGGCTGATGATCAGAATCACCTAACGAAGTCTGTGACCATACAAATTCAGTGGCTACATTCCTAGAGAGTCTGAGTAACTGCATCTAGGATTGGCTCAGTGATTTTTCTTTCAACCGCTTATGTTTCTTAGGTGTATGGCTAGATTTTAAAAATCACTAACAGAGCTGACTTCGATAGATTATATGGTAGTATATAAATATATTATTGAATTTCATTTTTATAATAACCTTTTGAGATAAGTATTATTTTTAACCCCTGTTTTATAGATAAAGAAACTAAAGCTCAGAGAAGGTCAAATTGCCAGTAAGTACCAGAGACAGGACTGAGGTCCAGTCCTATTATCCTAATTCTTTCCTAAGTATCATTACACCAGATCTCCCCAAGTAGGTCTTTCTCTTACTTGCTTCTTGTTTCTATAAAGTGTCTCCTGTGGTTGAACTTTTTACCTGCCTTGCTTCGGTCATATTTAGGCTGTGTATCAGCATACTCTGGTCACAGAATGTTAACCTGAGAATCAGTCATTGTGGATAACGCAGTATGGTGGAAGGTAGGAAGATACACTGGTTTTTAAATTGGATTCCCTTGGGTTTGGGGATCTGATTGAACTTTATTACTTCCTGTACCTGCTTCTTAGTTGTTGGTTGATTTCATAGGCCTGCCATCTCCTCCTGTGGTATAACCACAGTCTGTAACACAGCCTAGGAAATGATCCCTCTTACTTTCTTCTTACTGGATCTGACCCAGGTGAAGTTCTTGATTATTGTTCGTCTCGGCTTTGACCCTTTCATGGTTCTCTCACATTGTTTAGGCCATTTGGAACTGATCCATTGGATCAAATGTATTTCTAAGGAAAATTTTATCTACTTTGTTCAAGAATAGAGGGGGATTGCTCAGTTCCCTTTAGATCAGAGAGAACTTTTTTAGTCCATTCCTGGTATTCAGTGGGAATTAGACTTCCTTAAGGGCTTGGAAATGGTTTTTCACAAGGATCATTTTCCTTTTTTTTTTTTTACTGTATTTGTCTTTCTAGACCTGGAGAATAGGGTATTTCATTTTTTCTTTCCTAGTTTTAAGCCTAGTGTTGAAGTAGACGAGAGGATGAGTGAGGTAGGAAACTAGTATTTCTTTCGCACTTTTTGTGTGTCAAATTCTTTGTCACATACTATTTTGTAGTCATCAGAACCGCTCAATGATAGGTGTTATCTTTTGTATTATGAGGGGGAAAAAAGGCTTAGAAACTGTAAGTGAATTAACCTACAGCTGCAAATATAATAATGGTAGGAATCCAGATTGGAATTGAAGTTGATTTGACTCTCAAACCAACCTCTTTCTATTGTATCCAATTATCTCTGTTAACAGTGAGTGGGTGTGAAGGACTGATGGCTGGGAATGGCTGCCTGTGACCTGAACTAGTGAATTAGCTGTGATAACTTCTTTCCCTTACAGGACAGTGTGATGGTCCTTAGTGCAACCCATCGCTACAAGAAGAAATATGTCACCACACTGCTGTACAAGCCCATCTGAAGCCATTCTTCTTGCCTCTGAGGATTCAGGAGAGGCCTCTTCCTTGCCTGTGGACTGAGCCAGTCTTCTCTGACACCGGAAGGGTGGTTTGCTTTGAGGCTGATGTCTTTCAGAGCCTCTGAGTAGGATGCTCTGCTTTTGCATTTGATTGCAGATGAGAGCTTTATGAGTTCATGGAATTTATTTTAAGAAAAACACATATATACATGAGAGGAAGGTTGCTGGAAGCCTTCTAGCCCCCGCTAGATGTATTTTTTCTGCCTCTGGGTATTTGCTAAGACCTGTTTGGGGGAGCTGCACGAATGACTACATAGGAAGCATTCTTTCTTAACATGAAAGAATGGCAAACTCTTAGGATCCTTGTTGGGTGACACTTCTACCACTGCTACCTTGGATGTCCAAGGGATGGACTTGTGCTAGACTGCTGCCCTACTTAGCGCTGTCTCATTGCAGGGGTGGCTTTTCTCGCATGGGTTCTCTTTATTCCCACGTTATGTGACACACAGCCTGTGTTTTTTATTTGATACCAGATGCTCCAAAAGAACCCATTTTCCCCTCATTTCAGCTTCTTCCTTGTAATAACCTTCAGTAACTGTACCTGACTCCTCTAATACAAAACTCATTGAATAAGTAGCCCCTTTAGGCCTGACTATCCCACACTAGAAGTTAGGGATGCCAGAAGGTCTCTTTTTTTAGTCTGCTCTGGTCTTGGGCCATGTTGTTAACTGCTTTTACTTCTACTAAAGGAAAGAAATATGACTCAGCGTTATATGGCAGAATGCAGATCCACTACTTGTTCTAATTTGGTGCCACAACTTCAGCAGTATGGCACGTTCCCATAGGTTTTTCCACCTGGCCTGGCCCTGTTTCCAAATCTCTTTCTCAGAGCAGACAGCTCTGTAAATAGGCTTGGAATCAGGGGACATCTTCTGTGTCTTTCATCCTTGAAAGATTTTTGTGTGCCTGCATTTTTCTTTAATTAAAAAAATGCCTTTCATTGATCTTAGGAAACTGTATTGAAGAATTTCAGGCTTTTAAAAAATGTTGATGATTTTCTTTTCTAGTCTAGAGATATCTACAGTCTTACATTAAGATAGCCAGCCTTATGTACATCATTACACTAGGCACTGCTGTAGAGATTAGTCCATTTAGGCTCATATGATGTACGTAATGGATTCCATTAACTTAAAGATAGATGTGTAAGGCCGTGACACAAAAATATATCTCTGGTATCTCTAACCATGAAAAGTGTTACTCTTTGCACCAAATGTTAACAAGATCCTTTTTTTCTTTACACTCCTTTCTGAGAAATGTGTTTGATGATGAAGAGCATCACTGATACCTGTTTATAGACTGAAACGTATCTATTCAATCCACCCTTGATATTCAGAGATAAAACATTTTCCCTCTAGTATGTTGGCCCTTCCATTTTGCAGATAAATGCAAGTCAAACATTCAGCCTTTAAGGAAGCCAGACTGCTGGATGGTTGAGATAGCCCTTGAGTGCAGTGAAAGGGTACCAACAGGTTTAGGTATTTCCTTACTGTCTTTCCCAAGCAGAGATGGCAGCACAATTGTCTTTGGGTGTGTGGACTTCTTTGATGCCAGCTATAAAGCAGTAAGGTGGCAGCTGTTTATAGGGAATGCATTAAGTGCTTTGGTAATTGTTCATTGTTGAGAGTACAAAGTGAGTTAGCCATCCAGAGTTACCTTCTGGAGAATTTTCTGTGGTCTAAACCACTGTTTGAATGGTGTGCTATTTTTAAAAATGCAGGGTAAATCTTAGAACCAACTCTCAGGATCCAGATAGTTTTAAGTTTTATTGGAATTTTGTTTCTATCTCATACCTATGGAATAATTAGGCCACCTTGGAAGATTTAGAATCATAGTGATTACATGGAAGATTTTCTTGTACTTGTTATTTCTTGTCAAGAGTATTGAAACATAATTGTATGTGTACTAAAATTTTTACTCCACACAGGTATACCACTGCAGTGGGGCAGGAAAAAGGTCTCCAGTTTCTCTCAGGCCAGAGACTTCTGTGAATCGGGTCTGGCTATGCTGGTAGTAAGCGCTGGTGCTGGTGATTTCAGATCTGTCTAATGTGGAAGTGTGCAGGGTCAGTTTCCGAAGTTCTCGCACTGTCAGCCTGCCAGCTGGTGTGGAAGGAGGTGGGTAAGAAGAACGGGGTCATGACCCATTCAGTGCTCGTCCCGAGAAGCCTCTCTTGGTGCGTCACGGGGACACTTCTGGAAGTGAGGAGGGAAGAGGGTGGCCCAAAGTGCAACTCACTCATCCTCCTATATATTGATTAGTTGCAGGGGCAGCTTATTTTCTGCAAAAAGAGTATTTGTCAGATTTTGAAAATGAGTAACTTCAATATCACATGAGCCCTATAGTTTTTACTGTTAATGAAAGATTATTTATTTTATTACTTTTTGTTGTTTTTTTTACTATGAGAATTTTGCAGAGCCAGCGTTTAATAAAAAAAGAAAATGGCCCTTAAGAAGGGCTGACCCATGAACAACTGCATTATTCGGGTTTTAAGGAAAAGAAAGAAAAGTGCCTGAACTGAGGAGGGAGAGTGGGAAACTAAAGGCTTAAGTAACTCAGAACTGAAAATAACCTTTTTTTAAAAAAAACTAAAATCAGAAATAACCTAATGGTATTCTTGGATCTCATTGTACAAAATTTAGCAGTAGCTAGCACATCTTCCTTTTGCCTACTGTCATTCCTGTTTTCTGTACTTCCCTCTGTATTTTCCTTTAACTTCATCAGAGTTCAGTAGAGTTTAAGTCAGTCATTACCTACGTAAGTTAGTTATCTCACTGTCACAGAGAACTTCACACCTTGCTTACTAGCTAGCTTTAAGCTTCTACTTGAACGGGATTTAATCACTGCACACAGTACCCCTAGAGGGCATACCTACCCTCAGTCAATAATCTTGGCTTTTTAAACATACCCGATAGAGAAACGGGGTAAAATAATTCAAGAGAAGTTTCTGAGAGGATCCAACAAGCCAGGCCCACTTTCTTCCAATTATTTTGAGTCTCTTGATCTAATGTGTCTGAAATAAAACACTTGAAGATTGTCAGTACTCCATGCATGCTGCTAAAGTGAGATTTGGAAAGAAGTGATACCTCCAGATGGGGTTTGTATTAATCTGGGGTATAAATAAAGGAGAAACATGGATGACAGATTTCCCTGCTTTTAACTGGGGAAATAAGGCTTTTAAAATTTTGACTTCAACTGAAAATGATATGCAATAGTCTTATGTTTGTATGTGTTTAAAATACATTCTGTTCTCAGAGATTTCTACATCCTCACATTCTAGTGATTTGGAGCATAATCTTAAGAGCAAATACATAATTTGTTTCTACATTATTTTGACTCATCCTTAAAGCCAAGTTCTCGCTGCTGACTCAAGTTACCCATGGGATGGAAGACCTGGTAGGGTAAGGGTCTTTCAAAGTTTTATGAGTCTAGGCATTTGTCTCTCCTTAAGTGCCAAACACAACTGAAGATTGAAGGACTGTGGTTTCTGCAATGAACATAAACTTCTGGAGTGAAAAGCTAGATCTCTTATAAATTATAAGAAAAAGGAAAGAAGGGAAGGAGGGAAAAAAATTGTCTGTTATTTGTAGAATTCAGTTACTGGCAATGGAATCCCTCTAGGATTCTAATTGGGATTTTGTCTTGGTTTGTTTTCACTTGTGTTTTGAAGTGAATATGCTTCATTAAAAAGTAAATTTTGTATTAGCTTCAGCATTAGTTGGAGTTAAATAAACTGTGCGTAGCCCAGTGCTTTTGCAGTAAGAGTGGTGTGAATACTAAACTGGATTTTGTAAGTCATGCTAAATGCTGAGGGGATACCTATGTTAAGTATCACATTAGGAATCGGTCATCTTGTTTTTCATTCCCCTCCAGAGAGCACTAACTTACCCAGCTTGCAGTTTTAAGACAGTAAAAGCTCACTGTTTGATCAGTCCTTCTGCACTGAGTCCCCTGTATGAGACTTATTTGAATTTTGGTTAGTTGGAGGATGTTGGTTGCTATTATATGAAAGTATTTAACGAGTAGCTCTGTCTGCTGTAAGGGGGAATAAGACTACAACTTGAAGGGACTTAAAAGCGTTCTCCTTGAAGTGGTGCTTTTTGTAACCTAGAATGCTGGGGTGCAGAGCTGCTTTTCAGTATTTCACAAGGGAGTGGTATACAGATAGAGATTTGAAAACCTTTCTCCAGTATAATTTGTCACTGGACTCTGACATGCCTGAAAATTACGTGATGTAACACATAAGTAAATGTGGTATTTTTCCTCATAAAACTGCTTAATAAAAGTATTATACAGCAATAATATTTGAGCTATTTTCTGATGTGTTATCAAGATTTGTCTGCCTTGGTCGTCTCAGAACCTAAAGAATGGAAAATTGTCAGACAGGTATATTTGAGTAAAGGGAGAAGTCATAGCTGCCGGGGATACAAGTCATGTCCTTCCCTCTGCCACTTTTTTTTTGTTCAGGCTATGCAGCATTAACTATGGGAATTCAAACTCAGTGATTTGATTCGCAAGATTTTCTCTGGACTGACTATATTTTGTTATCAGCCTATGCCATATTACCTGAGGCCTTAGAACAATGATTGTCACCCTGACTGCACATTTATATCACCTGTGAAAGTCCCATAAACATCAGTGCCCAGTCTGCTGCCTCCATCGCAGTTAAATAGGAATCTCTGCTGTGAGGGCCAGATGTCTGTGTTCAAGTTCCCCAGATGATTCTAAAATATATTTAGGGTTGAGGAACACTATTTTGGACCTTCCCTACTTGTTTTTCCTTTTCAGATTATATACTTCATTCTGACAGCGCATCGCTCTTCTCAGATGGCCTTCAGGACCATGAATATAAATGATCTTTGTTTTCCATCCGTTTATTTCACAGGGTTTTTACATAGTTGGCCTCTGGGTTTCTTTTCCTAAAACAACCAAGCTTCCCTGTATTTGCTGCTCTAAAGATTCATCTCCCTTGCTCCTAGAGGAGAGAGTGAGATGAAGAAGGGATATAACAGAATGATGGGTAAAGAAAACCTGTGGTAATAGGACTAGACCAGATCCTTTACCCTCAAGACTCAGCAGCAGGCCCAGATCGCTTGCAGACATGAGAGATGTATAATGTGGATTCTACCTGTGTAAGAATGTTCTGTAAACATTGTGTGCTCTGGTCACTGACCAGTAGGGCCAAACCTGCACTGAAATGTGCTTTCTAAAACATTTCTGGTGTGCTTGGACTGAGGTCTTTTTTTGGATCCCCTCCAGTTCTCTCTTCTCCCCTGCAGTGACAATTGCCAGTAACGTAGGTGCTTCAGAAACATGAGTCTGCCTTTCCTTTCCCTCTAACCTCTGTGGTCACTTCATCCAGCAGCACATGTTCAGGTCTGGAACGCCACCTCCCTTTTCCTAATACATTCAGCGGCTCCAGGCTCACACATTGGCTGAAGAGAACTGCTCATGCCCTCCTACCAGTTAGCATTCTTTAGGGACTTAGTTTTGCTCTGAAGGAAACTTGAGACTTCCCTTTGTCAGAAGGCCTAGATCTATATGCTGTATGATATTTTAAAACCCAAGCCAGATTTTCAGATTATTTAACTACTCCCAAGCTAATTTCCCTTCAGTACCATTTCCAAAGTGTTCTCAATATTAACAGCCTGTAAGACCAGGTAAGGATATTGAGCAACTGAGAGTTGAGGTCACTGCTAACCTGTGTACTTTGTTCTTAAGGGGAAAATTCCAGGTCAATTGATACTCAAAACCATGATCTAGAACTCTAGTTATTTTCCAGGATTTTTGGCTATCAGTTATAGTAGTTCTGGATTACAAGTTAGAGGTTAGAATTGGGTAATGGGATGCCCTTAAGAGGATCTCAGAAAATTAAAAAGTATCAAGGGGCAGGTTAAGAATATTTTAAATGCACAAATGCTTTGGGCCAACCTGAATTGGCAGATCTACATTCTATAGATTGGAGAGTGATTTAGAGTATCTGAGGATGAAATAAAGGAATTTGACAATCTTGGGGTCTACCAGATCAAGGGCTAGTTTTAGAGGCCTGTAGAGCTTAGAGGATTTTGAGGGGTGGCATCTGGTTTTTAGGTGCAGAAGAGAATTGGTAGCAACCAGGACTAGCTGAGCTAGTCTTGGGGAAAGCAAAATTGCCCTGGTGATCTGACTTTTCTAGCCACTTAACCCCCTGAGGCTAGTTGCTGAATCTGGGCGTGGAGTGAGGATTGACCTTTACCCAGCCAGAGAGTATCTTCTGGGACAAAGTGAAACCAACAAAACTTATGAGGAATGAGTTGAAACTTGAGGGGCTTCAGGTGCACAGCTGACTTTCTCCCAAAGGACTCTGTGTGGGAAGCTTAGGAGACACCACAAAATCTTGCAAAAAGCAGAGTGAAATCTCCAATTGTGGTGCCATGGTAATAAGGACTAACTAGGTCAAAGAACGTTGTCCGCAAAACACTTGCCAGGTATGGAGTAATGCAGGGTGATAGAACTAAAGAACTTTAATAAAAATTCTTGAAGGGCCAGCCAAATGCTTTCCAATTAACTATGCCAGAATACCAGGGACCCCTGCAGTTAGGTTCCAGCGTCCTGTCCAGTATAGACGCAGGCCTGAGAAAACTAAAAGAACTAGGAGAGAGAAAACGGTGCCAGGATGACCAATGCGGGTGCAACCGACAAAGGCATTGGCCAGTCCCAGGCACTGACTTACTGACAGTCAACTGGGGTAAAGGTGAGCTATGTGTGGTTTCTATGGAAATTAAGGCTCGTAAAGGACAAGAGAGCATTCTCCAATTAGGAACAGAATAGACAAAATACATGGTTGTAATTAGAACATTGTCCTAGTTAGGTTTTAGTCGTGGGAATGGAATTTGGGTGTGAGTTACTCTGACCTCGGCTTGGCCAGACTCACTTCTCAAAACAAGCCAATTGTGGGGTTAACTCTTCACAGCCTGCACTGTTTACAGCCTGCTTTGGGCATAATCAATACTTTGGTCTTCTGCACAGAAAACTAAACAATAGGTATAGGAATACAAAAAAATACTCAACTATCAAAAACATGTTAACAGCCACAGTAACTGACATCCAATCAAAGATAACCAGGACACCAGGGATTTAGCTCAGTGGTTCCGCCGCCTGCCTCACAAGCACAAGGTCCCGAGTTCAATCCCCAGTAACAAAAAAAAAAAGAAAAAAAAGAACCAGGAGATTTTTACCAGGCAAGATGGAATAATGGATGAGATTTACCTTCCCACCAAAACCAACTAACAATCCACACAAAATATATGAAATGGTAGTTTTCAGACACTTCCTTAGTCCATTTTGTGTGTTTAGAATATCCAGGATTGGGTGATTCATAAAAAACAGATTTACTGGAGTTCTAGAGGCCAAAAAGACCAGGGGGCTGATACCTGTCATGGACCTTGTGCTGTGTCATCCCGTGGTGGAAGGTGCAAGGGCAAAGTAGTAGGGGCAACAGGAGAGGCAGGACCACCTTTATGCAAGAAGCGACTCCTGCAGTAACATCTCCACCCCAGCAATAACAGCCTTAATCCATTAATGACAGCTCTCACAACCTATTCATTTCTTATAATTTTCACCTCTTACATTTGGCTTCCATCCTGGGGTGTGGCTAGTTTGGGCATAGAGAACCTTCTGCCGGGTGGGTCTCTGTGCCGCTGAACGCTGAATCATCCTACTGTGATGACCAAGAGCTGCCTCACACACACAAAGTGGAGAGCTGTCAGATTCAAAGGGTAAAAGCTACAGGGTCCTGCACGTCCAAGTCAGATTAAAACTGAAGGCCAAGATCCTACATATCACACCATGGCCACCAGTGCTGTGATCAGGTATAAGTTACTTGATCTTCTTAGTGGACACTGTTCTCCTCTGGACTCCTTTTGGCTGGCTCTCTAATGTGCTGTGTGTCTGTCTCTGGCCTTGTCCTGGTCTTCACCCCCTCCCACCTCCTTTCTCTCCCACTCTCTACCCTTCCCTTGCCCTGACTACACTCTGGAGCAACGCTTCCACTCCTTTTTCCTTGCCACCTTACCTGTTTCCCTCTGTCGTCACCAACATGCCCCAGTCTGAGGCTACTTCTTCGTTCTGAATGTGAAGCACAGTAAAGTTTCATATGGTCTCCTAACTTTTCCAGGGAAGCTTGGTTCAGTCCAGTATAAAAGTGTTAAAGAACAGTCACTGTTTTGAAATACTGGCAACTGAATCCAGGGGCACTCTGCCACTGAGCCACATCCCTAAGCCTTTTTTTGTTTTTCTTTTTCTTTTTTTTTTGAGACGGTTCCAGGCTGCCCTGGGACTTGCCACCCTTCAGCCTCAGCCTCCTGAGTAGCTGGGACTATAGACATCAGTCATTATGCTGGACAAAGACCAGCCACTTTTTAAAAATGAGGACAAGTTTGCAGTACATAATGATCGCAGTCAACATGGGGGATTTGTACACGTACCTAACACATCTTAATTCTTTATTTTCTGTCCCCTCCTCCTCCCCTCCCTCCAACTCTTCTTCCCCTCCCAATTTACAAAAGCTCCGTTTCCACCTTTTCCTTCAATTCTTTTCTCCCTTTAGATCCTCTCTCTCTTTCTTCTCACCCCTCCTTCCATTTCTTGTTCCTTTTCTCATTTGAACAAGTTCTGCCCACTTCCTAATATCTGTCCTCTACAGTATTTTGCTCCTTATTTATGCTTTAGGTTTCTCACACAAGGAACAGTGTGATATTTAAACTTGTGTGTCTGGTTTATTTCACTTACGATGGTCATGAGATGCATCCATTTACCTAAAAATGTCTCAAGTTTATCCTTCTTTATGGTAGAGTAGTATTCTGTGTTATATAAATACTTCATTTTCTTTAGCCATTTTGTTGATGAGAATATGGTCTGTTTCCAAGATTTAGGTTTTATAAATTGTGCTGTAATAATCATGTGTTTGCATGTATTACTGTAGTACAATTTTTTCAGGAAGATACCTAGAAGGGGAATAGCTGGATCAACCTCTAGTTTTAGTTTCTTGAGAAATCTCCATACGCCTTTCCACAGTGGTTGTAGCAATTTATACAACCACCAACAGCGGAGAAGGGTTCCTTCCCCCACCTCCATCATCGCCAGCATTTGTTATTGGTTAATTTCTTTTTTTTTTCTTTTCAGTACCCGGGATTAAACTCAGGACCTTGCCAGGCAGGTGCAGCAACACTGAGATACATCCCCAGCCCTGGTTAACTTCTTGAAGATAGCCATTCTTTCTGGCATGAGATGGAATCTTGATGTTGTTTTAATTTGCATTTTTT